AAATTTCAATTATAAAAATTATAATATATATTATTTATAGGATCACCAAAATTACATAGAGCTTTATTTAGAGAAAAATGTTATAATCAATCAAGTCGATCAACAAATCATTCAAATAATCAGAATCCTAATGATAATGGACTCAGTGAGTTAGTTAATCCTTTCAATGGAAATAATCCTCATCTCAATCAAAGTTTTAGCTCAGTTAGTTCAGTTAATGATTGGAGTTCAGACACATCTTCATTATGTACTACAAATTTAATATCAAAAGTATGTAATTCAATAAGTAAATATTATATTAAATATAACAATATGATAAAATACAAATATTTATTTTTAGGATAATGCAACTCAATCTTTTCAGAAAGAATGTATAGGTAGAAACTCATTAATACCACCGACGTTACCTTATATACCACCACCTACGTCACCACCGCCTGACTATCCTGGTCTTGAATATCCGCCAGTGTTTGAACCTGGTACTTATTCTCTTTTGGATGCATCATTATTACGTAATCGTAATAAAAGCAATCGAAACATTCATTAACCAATGATACAATTTAGTTCATACTCTATATAATAATAACCAAAGATAATATTTCCTTTATCATTTATATCTAACCAGATATTTTATAAATATTTTATATAAAACATTTAAAATATATTAATATTTTTTCAAGTATTATATAAAATTTAACCGTCCATTTTATAAGCATCTGATAAATTATCAAATCATGTTTTTATATAACTTAAAATTGTAAATCATTTACTCGTTAATGCAACAAAATAATAATCAATTAAAAATGATTAAAATTTGTTTAATAAATAATATAAACACAATTTGAATTAAATTAAATTAAAAGAAATTCAATTTTATTATTATTATTTATAATTGTTGATAAATTAATAAGTTGAAACTATTATATTCTTCAAAAATATTTTAACTATATTTATATTTATATGTATATATTTATGTGAATTATAAAATCCAATAATTAAAAAATAAATAAATTTAAATATAAAATATTATTATATAACTTTCTATATAAAAGATTATAATAAAATAATAATAATAGATTAATTGATAAAAAATTCAATAGAAAATTAAATATTAATATTTTTTAATTTGTAAAATATTTACAATAACAAATTTTTTAATTTTATATAAAAACAAATATTTATATATATTTATATATATTTCTATATATATTATTTTACATATATATAAAAATAGAAGTGCTTTTGAATTTTATTAAATTTTATGCAAATAATATAACAAAATTGTATTATCTTTTTTTATATATTTTATAAATACTTTTATATATATATTAAGTCAGTTTATATATATATATATATTAAGTATTTGTACATTTATATATAATATAATATAATATAATATAATATAATATAATAAAATTATATAAAATCATGTCATTTTTATATCATTTCTGTATACAATTAAAAACGTATTTTAACTATATTAATATTATTCTAACTATTAATATTAAATAATTCAAAATAATTTTATTATACTTTATGCTCAATTTTTTAAAAATCATTATAATATTAAAATTTAAGTTTCAAATCATATATTTTGTGTATACATGCGTACGTATATGCACGCGTGTGTGTATATACACGAAGAGTATAAAAAAATTTTTTTTATTTAATTTTAATATATAAACCTGACTATATCATAAAATGCATACAGTGATAAAATACAAAATACATACAGTAATATAAAATAATTATTATATGATAATATTAAATAGAATAAATTATTTTATATATTTTTATTTTATTTTATATTTGTTGTTAAATCATGTATAATAATATTTTTAATGAATATGTTCTCTCGACAACATAAAGGTTAGAAACACTACAGCGCCAAATTTTTGTATAGATGAAAATCCGTCTTTTTCCCAGAAGTACCATCAAAATTGAAATATATTTATATATATTTTTCCAATGTATAAATTTATATAAATAATTATTTATATAAATAAGTAGTTGATTTTTTAGTTTTTTCTTTTTTTTATTTTAAACTTTATATATTCGATTATCTGAAATTCGAATAATATAAATAAATATGAATAAAAATCGAGTTATCGATAGGAAGAATGTATCGATAAACTATCGAAAAACTTTTTGAGTCTGTAACTGTCTATATTATAGGAACTGGTAAATTTCTGGAATCAATTTGTAAGCTACTGTCTAAAAGTATTTTCTTTATTAATTCAAAACGTCTGATATTATTTCAAGAAAGTTAAGGTAATACAATTAGATAAAAATATAACTTTTAATGATTTTAATTAATATTATTTTAAATTATTTACTTTAAATTATTTATTATTTAAATATTTATAAACATGATAAGAATATTTAATACGATTTAAATTTTAAAATTTTTAATTTTTGTATTATTTGTATTATAGTATATGTGCTTATGAATACATATATTTTACAAATAACAATAAAAGGAGAAAATTGAAAATATGTCAGATCCAATTGATTATATTGATTTAACAGTAGATTCGCCAATTGATAAATCTTTAAGATTACGAAATAGAAATGTTCTACGAAATAGAAATATATCTGATAATAATACAACTAAACCACGAAAACGCAAACCAAAATTAACACAGCTTCAAGATTCTGTTATGTATGTATTGTTATATTATTATAATTTTAAAAATATTTCAATAAATTTATTTAAGATTAAAAATTATTTTAGAGAAATACATGAGAATACATATAAAGAAGTACAAACAATGGAAATTATAGATTTAGACAATATTAATACTACAGAGAAAAATGAATTGATATGTTATGTTGATGATTCTAATGAAGGAATTCAATTGTTTTGACTTGTCCAATTTGTTATGAACAGTTATCTTCTAAAATGAAACCAACATGTACTCCTTGTGGACATATATTTTGCACACAATGTTTAAACCTAGCTTTACGTAGAGCTAAAAAATGTCCAATTTGTCAAAAAATTATTAAACAACAATCTTGTACTCGTATACATTTACTATAGTTTTTGTTTGTCATATTTATTTACTTTCATTTTTACATGTATGATATAATGAACAAATATAATTTGATCTGATTATATATATTTAATCCAAATAAAAAAATAAATTAATAATATTAATATTAACATTCAATAATAATTCTATTGTTATAAAATTTTAACTATTCCATATAAATATAATTATATTTAGTTATATAAAGAACATATTTTGATTTATTATATATATTTACTATAGTAATTTAGTTTATTGCAATATCTTAAATTTATAAATTTAAGATAAATAATATAAAAGTTAAGAAATTTAAATAATTACAATTATTTATAAAACTATAAGTATATCTGCTTCAATGTATTTTATATTCAACAAATACATTCAGTGTTTATATTTTATCTTAAATCACCTTGAAATGTCTTTTATATATTTAACATAATAGAATATTATATCTTTTATATCTAACTGAATTAGACAAATTAACAATTATTAAATGATTTGATATATTATTATTAATATAATTAAAATTTCAAAATTTAAAAAAAAACTATTACAAGAAAATCATATATCATACTTGGAGGAACTATAATTGGAATGGCAGGTGAATATTATTTCAATCAGTTAATAATTATATTTTTTATATTATATACTTCTTGATAATATTATTTATTTTATAGCTGGTTTTTTAGCTGGAAAATTATTTAAAAACAAATCAACTCGAAATTTTGGTAAGTTTTTTTATTCTAGATAAATCAAAAGAAATATTAGATCATTGTTTTTTTTTCTAGAACCTAAAATTCTTATCAGTAAAAATATAAAAAAAGATAAATTCTCAAAAAGATAATAAAATTCTTATCAGTAAAAATATAAAGAAAGATAAATTCTCAAAAAGATAACATTTATATATTTCATAAAAATAATATCATATAATGAATAATATCATGAATAATTATCATAGCCGATCTAAAAGTGTTTTTTAATATATAGATGAAAACTACATAGAATAACCATTATTTGTAATCTCTTTAAACAAATTTGATAATGAATTAAAAGATAATGAAAAAGATAATATAAATAATCTTAATTTAAATTGTAAATTTCATAAAAATACATAAAATCCACAAATAATATCAAAAATCATACATTATATAATATAAGTGGAAGATAATGTAATATATCTATTAATATTTTTTTAAAAAATTTTAAAGAAAAATAAAAGAAGAGAATATAATTATTTTGAATTTAGAAATAAACAAGAATTTTTATATAATATTTAACCAGAAGATAATATAAATATTAAAAATGAAAATTTGTTAAAAACAGTAAATATTAAAGGAAACATATTAAAAAATAAGAATTTATAAAAATATAATCAATCGACACATTTAATACATTTGTCCAACAATTTTTATAAAATTAATATTATCAATAAAAATATTCAAAATATGAAAAATCTTAAAATTAAAATATTTTACCAAGTTATATAGATAATCTCAGTTATAATAATAATGCATATTCTAGATATGAAGAACAAAATATTTTGGATTGTATTTTTATTGGAGAATTTTATGGAAATGATATAATTATATAAATGAAATTATCAATGAAAATATAATAATTCAGAAGATATTTAATAATTTTTTAATTATATAGTATAGTATAGTAATAAATATAGTAATTATTACAAACTTAAAATCTTAAGCTAATGAAAATGTTTAATCTGAATCTTTTTTTTATTAAATATATATTAACATGAAATATTATAGCTATATTAACTATGTATGTTGTGTAATAAGAAAAATAAAATAAATTGTTTAATGCAATTATAATATATGTCTATTTTATATTTTGCTGATCCTTATTTTTTATATATCCTAAATTTGAATTTAAATCATTTATTGGTGTAATAATATTCAATGTCATTTCTGAACAATGGATTGGTCAAAATTATATATACGCCACGCCTACATCTACATTATGGCGGTGTCTCAAGGAAATAAGATATACAGTTTTATGGAAAAAGAATTAAACTTTATAATGAAGTCGATATTTATGATACTTTTGAAAACTAATATGGTTCATCATGCGCATCTAAAACGTGATAAATTATAAACAACTTTTAAATAATTTAAACCTTAAACTGTGTATTTTAATCAATTTACTACAGTGAATATGAGTTTTCGATAGTGTGTCATTGACTCAAAACGAAGTGTCAAAATCGACTTAATTTTGTGCTTTATAAAACATTAAGACAATTATTAAAATTTAATTTATTAAAAATCATATAATCGTTTAAAATTAAAGTGAATAATATATTTGTTTAGCCAATTATTGTTATTAAACACATATTTTATTGCTAGTGTAATTTCCACGGAAATGAAAAAATGTATATGACGCCAATGCTTTGTTTTCTTTTTGTCGAATACTTTCCGTTGTAAGTGTTACGTTTGATAGTGATTTTGGGAAAATATACATAATGTAATACTTTTTGATAATTGATTTTCTCATTATCAATGTTTTGTGTATAAACATATCGCTTTTTTATTGCTAAATATTAAACATTTAAATATGAAAAAAATCAGAATTTATCGTTTGATTTAGTCAAATTCTTTGATTTTTTTCATCTTTGTTAATTAGTGTTAATAATAAATAAATATTTAATGTTTTATTAAACAATTAATTAATAAATACTTGTGTTATTTATATTCGATATATTTATCATTCGATATAATCTATATATAAATTCTATTAAAAATCAAGTGTAACACATAATTATATTATTTTTTCATACAAACTAATTATTAAAATAATTTATATTAAATATTAAAGTAAATATTTTTAAGGAAAAAGAATTACAAATATTTGAGTTTTATATATTATTTTTTAAATTATAATAAATATAATTTCAGGTTTTTAAATGCATATTGAAGTTAAATATTAAACGTCATGGCATAAAAAACTTTCTATGTAATTAACTATTAATTTACACTTAAACATGATACTAATGGAAAATTATTATCGAACACTCGTTAAGATGTGTTTGTTTAATGTTGTTTATCACTGATCACATCTTTGCTGAGGTCAGAGAGTGATGCCGGTTCATCAGATCAATGTTAATCCGCCTGACCGGCAACCACCTCTGTCACTTGGTTCTTCCAATAACAATAGCCCTGCTGGTGGTGAAGGTTTACCAGAATGGACATCAAAAGTAATTTTAAATATATTTTTTTTATTTTATATTTTCTATCTTATATCTTTTATATCTAAAACATTAAATTTCTTATTATTATTATATATAATATTTTTAAAATAATTATGAAATTAATAAATTATTCTTTTAATAAAATTAGAAAAAAATGGTTTTTGTAATCTTAAATTAATTTTTGTTTTATATTTAATAGAATATTTATTGTTTTTAGGAATCAACATATCCAACAGTAGTTACAATTATACCAGATCATTATCATTCATCAGTAAGCACATTGTCTTCAAGCAATGATATTTGCAGGTAAATGTAAAATTCAAGTTTATTATATTAAAGTTTATTATAAATTATGTTTAATTAATTAATACTAATAAAAAAATATATTTTTTTTAAATAATACATTATAGCATTAAAATAATAATTTTAAAATAATATTTAATTATTTACATAATAATATACAGATATCTTTTTTCTTATAGAATATGTCATTGTGAAGGTGAAGAAGGTGCTCCACTTTTAGCACCTTGTTATTGCAGTGGCAGTTTACGCTATGTACATCAAGCTTGCCTTCAACAATGGATAAAAGCTTCAGACACACGTGCTTGTGAATTATGTAAATTCACATTTATTATGCATGCTAAAACAAAACCATTTTGTGAGGTATTATTTCTTTGTATTATTCTTTGTATATTCTTTATATATTTTGTATATATTTTCTTAAAAATAAAACATAATTTACCATTTATCAATATGATTAATTTTAAGAAATATAGATAATAATAATTAATAATTTTTAGTGGGAAAAACTTGAAATGTCTGCCCTAGAAGTTCGTAAATTATGGTGTGCAGTTGCTTTTCATGCAGTAGCTGCACTTTGTGTGGCTTGGTCTTTATACGTACTCGTTGAACGATCTGTGGAAGAAGCTCGACGTGGATATGTAGATTGGTCTTTCTGGACTAAATTAATAGTTGTTGTAATTGGTTCTACAGGTGGTTTAGTTTTTATGTATATTCAGTGCAAAGTATATATTACATTATGCAGAAAGTGGCGAGCATTTAACAGGTATATAACATTAACATTAATTATTTTTATTAATTATAAATTTTATAAATTTCAATTATATATTTTCTAGAGTAATATTTATTCAAAATGCTCCTGAAAAAGTGGTGCTTCCTCCCTCACCTACAGACTCTTTGAGAGAAGTAACATTGCCTCTAAAAGATCCAACTGCCTCTATGCCTGAGCTCAATCATTCCTTATTACCCTGTAACATAGATCCTCCATGTGCCTCGCAGATGGTAAAACCGGATTCTGCCGCGCCTCCACAAAGGCACGACGCTCAATTGAAACTTTATGTATTTGATAAATTATCCTCGTCTGAAGACAACTTATAATACAATTGGTATAATACAAATGGCTGCTAATTGTATATTAATGATTAGCAAAAAAAAAATATATATATACATATAATGCAAATGTGTCTAGAATAAAGTTATAATTCTAGACTACAATACGATTTTGAAAATCGAAGTTTCTATTTCGAAACTGTCAAATGTCCGCCCTTATGGAGCACCTCTATCTGGAACCTAGTACTTCAGTGCTTACATTGACAATGGAATAGTTGAAAGTGTTTAACCAGTAGGCTAAACATTTTCTCCAACAAATGTGTACATAATTATTGTATCTGTGATGTTATTAAATAAAATTTACCATATTTAAAGAGCACTTTTAATTTTTGTAATAAAAATCTACATTCATTTTTAGTAAAGTTTTCATTTACAAAGTTTATGTTCTTCATTAACATAATGTGATATCAATATAATATTCTCTATTACAAAAATTTAAATTGATTATTATCAAAACAAATAATGATATTTACTACGGTAAAATAATAAATATATTAATTTACATTAATTAAATGAACTTTTAAAATTATCTTTAAATTCCTAGAACCAATTAATTAATTTTGAACATTCGATAAATTTTAATATATAATACTTATTTTGATATATTACTTAATTTTGATATATAATACATAATTATAAAAGATATTAATAAATTAATATTATTTGTTTTTAAAAAAAAATATTTAGATATTATATAGTACGTATATCCGGCCATTTTTATTGCAAGTATGAAGTTGTTCACAAGTAATTGTATTACAATATTTATATTTAAAACTTTAAATATTATATTAAAAAATAATATATAAATAAAATTATAGCACAATTTTTTTTATTCATTTTTTTGTGTAAAAAATGTATTATTTCGAATATTTTTAATATATATTTTGATTAAGTTTATAAAATATAAGTTTATAGGTGGCACTAGTTTTCCGGAAATAGTTACAAGAAGTTACACGAATGCATCGACTATAGTAACAGTGAGCGTCAGTTTGTTAAATCTGTATCCGGAGGTAAGATGAATATTTGTAATCCATATTTAATTATCTATTAATAATCAATCCATTTATAAAATGTATTTAACTGTATTAAGAATATTGTCAATTTTACTAGTGTATAATAGTTTTATTATTGGTTATATTATATGATGGAAAATTAAATGATGCACAAGTGTTTATCTTGTAATCATATATATTAAATACATGAATGGAAGATAGATTATGTAATTTTAAATGAATATACACGTGTGTACATCTATATCTTAAAATGAATGTTTTGTAAGAAAATTAAATTTTATTTGTTCTATTTATTTTATATAATTCATTTTTTTTTTTAGAAAACGGTGGCGTCACTAAAATGGCGGTTACATTAAGTGTATAGTTTCTGTAATTTTTATTGTTAGAGACAAGTTTTTGTAGATTTGATTTTTTCATAATGTAAAAATTGAATATTTACTTATAATATACTTAATAAGAAAAATAGGAGAATGTATATATTTGAATTATAATATTTCAAACAATGTATAATACATAAATAATATATTCAAATTTTGAATCAAATTTCTTTTTAATTGAATAAATTTAGGAAAAAAATTTATTATATAAAAAATAAAATATAATAATATATGTTTATACTATTATTTTAAATATATTTAATAAATATATTTATTTTAATATATATTTATACTATTATTTTAAATAAACAACTTTTAAATAATTTATAAATTATGAAAAATTATATAAATTTAATATCATTTAATGTATTCAATATGTAATATTTATTAAATTATTACATATTTGAAATATATACAAAGTTAAATTTATTACGAGTGTAATGCATATATATGATATTTTTCAAATTTCAGCAATAATTTATCAGATATATAAAAGATATGGCAGATAACGATGATCTTTTGGATTATGAGGATGAAGAACAGACTGAACAATTAGTTGATGGAAGCAGGGATACACCTGCTAAAAAAGAAGTTAAAGGCACATATGTATCCATTCATAGTAGTGGATTTAGAGATTTTCTTCTTAAACCTGAAATATTACGCGCAATTATTGATTGTGGTTTTGAACATCCATCTGAAGGTTTGTTACTTATTTATATCATTATTATTTAATATAAAAATATTAAATGTTTAATTTATTGAAATTCATATTAAAATAGATATTTATTTATCACAGAGTTCAGGATTTTATCACTAGAATGATATAAGAATGATTTTTCTTCTTAATCATTTAAATATATGATATTATATAATCTTATTTATAGATAGATGGATAGATATAATTTTATGTATATATTTTTTTGATTAAAAATAATCAATCATATATTTCTTCTAGAAGCAAACTTTTGGACTCTGTAGTATGTAAATGATGATAATTGATAGGGACAACAGATTGTACATGAATGATATGTTTATATAAACTGATTATTTATTATATAAAATTTATATTTTTCTCATTTTAAAAAAATAGAAATTTTTCATGAATATTATTTACAGTTCAACATGAATGTATTCCTCAAGCAGTTCTTGGCATGGATATATTATGTCAAGCAAAATCTGGTATGGGAAAAACTGCTGTATTTGTACTAGCAACATTACAGCAATTAGAATTAACTGAAAACCAAGTTTATGTTCTTGTCATGTGCCACACACGAGAACTTGCTTTTCAAATAAGCAAAGAATATGAAAGATTTAGTAAATATATGCCTCATGTAAAGGTAAGATTATGAATATAATTTATTATATATAATTATAATTATAATTGATACAAAATCTTCATATGATGAATTGCAAATATCTGAGTAAATAATGGTGACATCTTTTGATACCACTACCTACCACTGATGAAGATTCTTATATATAATACAACTTAGTTTTATATGAGAAATTTAGTATTAAATATTAGTTAATATATTAAAGAATATGTTTATATTATTAGGTTGGAGTATTTTTTGGTGGTTTGCCAATTCAGAAAGATGAAGAAGTCCTGAAGAATACATGTCCTCACATTGTTGTTGGTACTCCAGGTCGCATCCTTGCTCTTGTTCGAAATAAAAAATTAAATTTGAAACATTTGAAGCACTTTATTCTCGATGAATGTGACAAAATGCTCGAATTATTAGGTATTTAAAACGAAATTTCTTTTGATATGTTTATATATTGTGTAATGTTAAATATATAATTTAAATTTATTTCTAGACATGCGTAGGGACGTACAGGAAATATTTAGAAGCACTCCACACGGCAAACAAGTCATGATGTTCAGCGCTACATTGTCCAAGGAGATACGTCCTGTCTGCAAAAAATTCATGCAAGATGTAATTAACAAATCTTCCTCTTCACTTCGATCTTCGATTGCTCCTACTTCGTTGGCCCTGTATTCATACCCAGGACAAAGCTCAGACCATACTATAAATATCGTTGACGGCGCACCCGCGGGTTAGGCTAGTTAAACAAACAACACTTTGAAGGAGTGACACAGAATTCAATAACGAAAAAGCCCCTCGATGTCTTCGATTGAAATCAAGTTCTACAACTCAAATGTAACGAGTTGCTGCTCCAAAGTTTTTCTCCATTTACTGGATGACAATATCTGCTCGTAAAAGGAACGATATCTTCATTTAAAATTCTTGAATTAATCAAGATGGCGTTGAGGATGCTTTAAAATATTTTATTTAGTTCCGATCTTCGATGTTAACATTTTTTAAATTGTCTGCTGCATATTAATATTACCAAAGTTAAAATGATGTTCGGTATAATGTTATACAAATGTTGGAAAACATTCATATATATCGGGATGGGTTGGGTGGAAAATATTTCTACCATTTCTATGGGTAAATGATTCAGTCAGGTGAAAGGGAAGGGTAGATTTTTAAATGACTTAGAGCAGCATTGAAAGCAATTTCCAATTGGTGGGGGGCCAAGAAGATTTCAAGACAACCTGAAGACAGAAGTGCGCAAGAAAGAAGATGCAAGAGGATGTATGGGAAACTGGGGTTAGCTAGGATGACAATACTGTAATTATGTGGCATATGTCTAGAATTTATTCGCGTTCGTCTTATCTATAATTGAAACAACAATATTTTGATATTTTACAAAAAATGCTAATGGAGGTCAGTAATCAATTCATAGGAGTGAAAATGGAAGTGTTAATATATAGTTTGGTCGTGCCTACCTATATAAAAACTAAATATAAATCAGTTTGTGTATCACGAATTATAAGCTATTTAAATCGCGATGTTAAAGTATATCCCAGAGGCCATTAAATTTTGTGATATATGAGCATACCAACAATAATCAAGGCCAATTCTGGGCATATATTCTGAATGTACTAGAATTTGGGAGAAGAGATTTGGCATCGAGTGGCCAGCGGATGTGTGACACAGAACATTCATGGGTGCGCCTTCTTAGTTCTGTTGGGGTGACTGCTGAGTTTTCGTTGTTGGCACTACCCAGAGATGGAAGTCGCCGGACCGTATGTAACCAGTATGACTAATCCGATCGACAAATAAGTGCAAAAAATGAGAGCTCAAGCGGAAAGTTCTCGAAATCATCTAAATGCATTTTGTTTATAGTCACTTAATATATAATTACCATTATCAAGGAAGCGGGAGAAATTGGGACATTTATATAAAAAATACTCTACATTTTCATATCATTTGTTTCATTTCTTAAATTTTCGTTTGTAATTTTTCATTTTACGTTTCAAATTTATTTTTAATTATTTTTTTTACATTTAATTAATTTCATTCATAAATTTCATCATATTTGCAACTTCAATAAATATTGAAGTATTTTTTCATGTGTCACATCTACGAAAATATATTGAATATAAAAATTATCAAGGTATGATTATCTTTAGAATAAAATAGATAATCTTATAAAAAACATTCTTTGCGCAGCCCATGGAAGTCTATGTGGATGATGAAGCGAAACTCACGTTGCATGGTCTACAACAACATTATGTGAAACTTAAAGAAAATGAAAAGAATAAGAAGCTATTTGAATTACTTGATGTACTTGAATTTAATCAGGTTTGTCTGCAGAAATCAATTAAATTATATTGTTCTAATTTAAGTTCAAAATTTTTATCATATATTAAATCACTATAATTTTTATTTTTATTTTAAATTATTCTATAGGTTGTTATCTTTGTAAAATCTGTACAAAGGTGCATGGCCTTGGCACAATTATTAACAGAACAAAATTTTCCTGCAATTGGTATACATAGAGGTATGACTCAAGAAGAACGGTTATCAAGGTATCAGCAATTTAAAGATTTCCAAAAAGTAAGTATCAAATTAT